GACCCGATACGGTTAAAGTTGCAGGTTACCAAGATTACAGTGCACAATTCCATAAAACAGCTAATAAAAAAATCACCTGCAGATAAATCCACGGCTTTGAATTCAAAGGGAATTTTATTTATCTTGGCAAATAGGAAGACGGAGCGGCATGGCTGGGAATGCAAATCGAGATACAATTCCAGTGGCATTTTGGAGGCGAAGTGTCCAAGATGAGCTATTCGCCAAACCTGAAACCTCTCACACTCATATGCTCTGTATTTATGCTCCGCCCTCCAGGGGTCAGTAGTACAATGTTTTTGCGAAACCTAAAACTAGGTTACTATGTTGTGGCTGTCGGCTTCGTTGATCTAATTATGTGCTATTGATGTTACCCCCCCCCCCCCCCAAATGTAATGGTTAACTCGATGAAAGATTGCTGTAATATGCTAAAGTCCATTCAAATTCACCCCATCCGTGAATCTTCCTACCTCTTATGTGCAGTTTCTTTAGTTAATTCCTAATCACTAAAATATTAGTCATCAATTAATTTGCATTTACCATGTTTTAAGAGCATTATTATAGATACCTGAAAATTAGAATTAGACAGAATTTATAGGCAAAACCTGCTGTTTAGATTTATTTCCTGTTTTCAGTAATAGCCTTTCAATCATCTTTTTACACTGCAATGCATGCATTTTCTCCTATTATACTGTAGCCTAATTTCAGCAATGCAGATTCAAATGCATATGCAACACTTTTATGCTTATAGGCTTCTTATTTTAGAGGCATCTTTCCAGCATCAAAAACTGCTTTACAAAAAAAGAGAATTTGAAATGTTGGAATATCATAAAATTAAGATTTGTCTGTTTTAGGTCAGACTTTTTATTTTACTTTATATATATATTTATAAAACACTCCAGGTTTGAAATGCCATGTGCACTGATAATGACAGGTCAGAAAGTTTCATCATTTTTAATTGAAGAATTCTGCCACATGATGGCGCAAGAACACTTTTTACAAAAGGAAAATTTGATTCATAAGTCAGTACAGCAGCACCTTCTGTTCTGGAGCAAAGCAGTGAGTGAGTAGTATAGCCAATGAATTAAAGGTATAGTTCATCCAGAAATCGAAATGAATTTACTCACCCTCATGTCGTTACAAACTTGTGTGACTTTCTTCTTGGAGAGAAAGGTATAATGATCTTTTAGTTTATTTATATGGAAAGTTGTTAAGTTATAGCATCAAAGAAGCACAATTTCAAGTAAAGGGAACCAGGGGATTGTCATTATCAGATAAACATTAAATCACATAAATTACTCTGGACTGATAATCAAATCCAGGCTTCCTAAACTTCCTAAAAGCATTATGGAGATACATCAGAAGTTACTTTGTGTTGCACATCCTCTCCTTATTCGCCCTGCACTGCTTCTAAGCATTCAAGCTCAAAGGTCATTCAAGTGTGCTTTGGAGTTGACCTTCTCAGTTAGGTCAGGGTGTGAGTGCATAGTTTGGATTTTAAAAGGGTGGGTTCTTGTTGGTTTTGTTGGTTTCACAGTAAAAGTACAATAAAGAGATTCATACACCTTTTGATGCATAATAATATACTGACACACCTCTACACCATATTACACTGCATTGATTTATTCTTAGGGAAATCACAAACCTAAATCTCAAATACAATTACCATATTTAACTCTTATTTGCATTCTGTGTTTAATTGTTAGATAATTCACCAGAGCCTCATCAAACTCAAAAGAGAAGTAAACAAAGACTGCTTGTGGTTTGGAAGAACCAATAAAATGGTTCTGGTTAGGCCAGTGGGGTTTTCCTGCTGAGGCTCCCAGCAAGACTTCACTTAAAAGTCTGGTTTGAATTTAAAGAGGCATGTGATACCAGATTATAGCAGATACACAGATAAGAACCAAAAGTCTGGCTAAGATTGTTTCTCCATGTTCTCTACTATAAATGAAAGACGGTATTAACAGATTAACTTTTTTATTGCTCTGAGAGACATGCAATGCTTGTGCTAGATTTGGTGGTGTATTTTCTAACAAACCCCAAAGAAAACTTCAAATTTGATACACCTTTTTAAGGATTGGTATTTCTGTTTGTTATAATTCGTAATAGGAGAAAAGGAAAAGCAGATGACACAACACTGCTTTGAAATCTTTTGCTATCATTTTATACATTTGTGATCTAATGAGAATTAAAATTTGATTATAGTGCATTAACCTTAAAATGTTCTCATAGTCTAAATGTAAGTAAATAATAAAAATGTAAAAAAAAAAACCTTCCATCCCATCATCCCTGTGGTTTTACATTACCTTGTGGTCAGATTTTGATCAGGCGAGGTAATGGGATGCAAGTTGTGACTATCTGGGCTTCCTGTTTTCCTCTCCAACTCATTTGGGGAAATTCTCCACCATGAGCTCATCCCCATCTATGCAGGTGAACTTTCCTAGGGTTAACCAACTGTATACACCTATGACCTTTGCACGTAAAATAACCATATCATGTATCTATGTGCGTGTATAGGATGAACTGCATTATTCATGTGGGCATATGAGTAAGTGAATATGTTTTCCAGCTTTCTTTAACAAAGATGACAATGTTTTGCTTATATAAGCACCGTAGGTTGACGCAGTGACAAAGCTATGAGCCCTTAGTCCAAGAGGCTTACCAGGGGAGGGAAAAACAACATCGATTTGAAAGATTGACTGAAAATGTTCTTCATATTTGTGATTATTGTATTGCAACCTCTTGATCATCGCTAACACATTATTTGTGGTATGTTAGTCATTACAGACACTGACAAAAACCATATGTAGAATGTGCAAAGATCTGTGGTCTTTTCAACACTTCTGTAAACAGAATTCAAAAAGCCTGCATGGGTTTCTTTTTTGAGACAATAAGAGATTACATTGGCTTGTTGTCATGTAAATTAAAATGAGATCTTAATTATTTTTTTGTGGTTAGTAGTCATGCATGGTGTGATTTCACAGTATACTTCAATGGTGCATTGAATGTAAAATTATGTTACAAAAAATGATGAACGCAAGCAAAGTTGCTTGAAGAGTAGGTTTGTCTCCATTATCATTTGAAAGGGGTTTCTCTCTAGTGTTCAGGGAGCAGAGTGGCGTTTGAACCATTTTTTCCATTGAAAAAAAAGAGACAAATATAAGGAATCTAATTGATAAATCTTTTTGTAATTTGCTTATTTACTAAAAACCATCTGAATGAACCGATACACTAGAATGAATCTGACTTTACAAGTATGAGAGGCTGTATCCAAAATCAAATACTTCTTTAGGCTTACTATTTAGTAGGTCACCTGCATATGTGGATGAGCTCATAGTGGAGAATTTCCCCAAATGAGTTGGAGAGAAAAACAGGAAGCCTAGAAATTAACAACTTGCATCCCATTACCTCAGCTGATCAAAATCTGACCACAAGTTAATGTAAAACCAAATGGATTACGGAATGAAAGTTTTTAACAATGTATAGGCTATGAAAAGAGTAATATGTCCGAATTCACAGTATTCATAAAACAGTAGCCTAGGTGAAAAGTCCCGGATGACCTACTATTTGGGGCAAGATTCTGAAGTGTGCATCTGATGGACACTGACTTTACTCTGCCATGAGGCCACGGGAGAACATTTGTGAATGGCAGTAAAGAGATGCTGGTTAAATGATAATGGCAGCATGACGAATATAGCACGTCCGGATTACATTCATGCTACACACACATTTATACTATATAAACTCTACATTTTTAACTGTCACTAATTATTCATTCAAAAGAGACAGCTACCTTCTCAAAAAGTATACAATTTTGGATGCAGCCAGAGAACCATTTAAAGGGATAGTTCACCTTCAGTTGCTGATCCCCAATGACTTGCATAGTGTTTTTTCTTCTGCATACTTTAAGTCAGTGGGGACCAGCAACTGAAGATAAAACTATCCCTTTAAGAATAAACTTTCCAAAAGCTATATCTATGGACTGTTTAGGAAGAACTGACTCATTAAAATGACAGTAGGGGACAAAACTATAGCTTACAAGTATCTGTCTCCGCTCGCTCTGCAATAAAGTAATAAATGTGATTTCAAAAAATTTTGAGCCTTAAGAACGCCACACGCGGAATCTTAGCTAGCCTACCCTTACGAAAAAGAAGTTTATTCAAGTGTTCCCTATTTTACCCAGCACTGGGTTGTATTCAACCCAGCATTTTTGAGAGTGTAGTCACTATAAAAGTGAGACAAAACCGACGTCTCACAATATCAGCGATGGTGTTGCACACTACAATCATAAAAATAGCGGGCGACTTTGGAGAGATGAGTGGATGCCCGAAATAAAAAAACACCCTACCTTATGTTTGTATTTGTGAAAAAACACTTTACAGAGTATATATGCTAACCAGGTATTAATCTGCAGTTTCATTTTTATCCTATTCTGACAGTTTGATTTGACAGACACTGACCCCTCACCTCTGTAGCCTTTATTAAATCATACTCACAATCGTGCTATTATTCTGTCATGATTACCTGAAACTATTCAGCACTCTTGCTAGTGATATTTAGGGTTTACTGACTATTTTAACACTAAGTAATTTAAATATTTGATGTAGCCTAAATCTAAATTTAAATATTAGTACATAAATCTTTATAAATCTACATCTATAGCTTAATATAGCCTAAGGTTTTATCTAAAATGTCAAAAAGGAATAGAACATGCAAATTAGGTAATTAATAAGGCCAGGTGGAAATTAAATTTGGAAGCTGTCCAAATCTCACAAAATTAGGTCGTTTTTCTACACTCTAGACTAGGCTGTATTTTATAATGAGTGTCCCATAGAGCGCAGTTGATTCGCTCACAGAGGCAAAAGAGTTAAAAGTCACATGGTGAGACTAGGCAATATTGTCACTCCGGCCCATAAAAAAAACGTGTATTGGAGGAAAGAGAACAAAGAAATCACTGCATATAAATAAGCGCAGTATCCGCAGCAGCAGTCGTCCACAGGCATCGCGCGAGCTTGCGCCGCAACCTTCTCAGGCACTTCCACTTACAGCGGCGGAGCTCGAAGATACAGGAGGAGGATGCGGGTCTCCGGGCTTCTGTCAGGCGCTTTCGCTCTGCATGTGCTCCTGACCGTGAGATGCACGCCTTTGCATGAGGGACGAGGACTCGTGAAGCACAAAGAGCCTCCCGTGAGTTTATTAATGCACACATTTGATGCATTGTTTCATTCTAGCTCTGGAAATCCGGTACGCTGCTGCTTAGTAAGTGGTTATTTTAAATTTAGCTGCTCTAGCGTTGTAACTTGCTACAACATTTTGAGTTTGTTTAAAGTTTTACTTTTAAATGTTTAATAAAATACATTTTATTTTACTTGCATGCTGCATGGCAAAAGCATGAACAAAGCAAAATTTGGTAAGTTTTGGCTTGTTACAATTATTGTTATAATTAAAAATCGTGAAACAGCGTCTGCAGCCTCTACATTTACAAGCCAGAACCTGTCAATTTCATCTGGGTTTGTTCACTTTTTTATGATTTAGATTAAGTAAATGATGCTTATGAGAGCAGTTAATTTGATCTCATTTAACTGTTTAACTGCCATTAAATGCTCTTGATAAAAGTTTTTTTTTTTTTCAATTTAAAATATACTCACAGGCTTAGTTTTCTTTATGGTTTTCTGTTTATGCCCTTTATTGGAAGTGTTTGTTTGATTGTTAAAATGGCCTAATCTACCTGTCATCACATTTCTAAAACTGAAGAATGGATTTTAGTGTTGTGTTTATTATGACTCAGGTGTAAAACTTAAACATAATGTTGTCAGTTTGTTCTCTCAGCGATGACAAAAGAGTGAGGGATTGTGCAGGCATGGGCAAGTTTGTCTTTTCTGTGCCATCTGGAGGGACACACACTCCCTCACTCTCACACATGCGCGGATGCATAGCCTATTGTAGAGATAATTTAGGGAATGTGATAGTCTTCTCACAGAAACCGTGCTGTCCTTTGTCCTGTTACGATTATTTCGGCCCCTTGCTCCCAGGCACGTCATCTGCTAAAAGAGAATAGAATATGATCTCACAGTGTTTTTGACCCAGTCACTGGGAGCAGAAAACACTGCAGAGGAGGAGGCTCTAGGACACTCATTTATACAGTTTAGTTGAGGTTAATATATGCAGCTTAAATATTTACACCACTTGAGGCAAGTCATTTTCAATTAACTTTAGTTAAGGTTGAATGCCTGAACACAAGAAGCATAAGAAACACATAAAAGTTGTCATATCCACAGGTTAAGCATTATTTGCTAGTTTATAAGTGGAGCCACAATTTACTGGTAAAAAACATCAAAATGAAAAAAATGGGGAAATAAAGACTATTGTTAATAATACACTCCTGTAGTGGGACTGTGCTGTCTAAGAGCAGTTTTATTGGGTCTATAGGTGCTTATGTAATATTGTTTTCATCTTTTTTGCAAAAAAATTTGTCAGCTGTAATTTGGTGTAAGGTTTATAATATTGAGTTTAAATAAAACTTCAGTAAGAAAAACACAAGTAGGCTATATATTATCAAATTAAGCAAATGTAAGTGCTTAAGATACAGAAACATAACGGATGTTTATCTGTTTAGTAATCATGAGATGTTCTTTTTGAAGTCATTGCACTTATCACACCTTAACTTAAGTCTTCATGGGAAATTGTATACTTCTGTCATTTTTCCATATGTGTTCACATCATGCCTATAAATAAAGTAAAGTTTTGTCTTATATGGTATGGTGGAAGGTGTGGTTGTAGCCTATAGACTTATTTTTCTTTCTTTTTTCTCTCCTTTTTTTATTTATTTTGAGGAAAAGAGGGGGATGTCTTTAATGACTTTCGCTAGGTACCCTAACCCTAATGTATGCCAAAAAACCCCACATCAGATTAATCCACACAGAATAGCATAGTGGAAGCCAAACTTACAATATTACACTAACTAACTGCTAGAGGGACAAAACTTACATATTGTAGCTTTAAAATTGGAAGTTTACGACCTCTGAAGTATGAGTGAATTCACCTGCACCCCAAACAGCATTTCCATCACAAACATCATTGTGTTTTATAGCCTAGTAGTTTAAGGTTATTGGGTCAGGGGATTCACTCACCTAAACTGACTGGAAAATGCCCCTGCTATGATTTTGACAGGGTCATTCAAGCAAAGCATGATCAGTTTCACGGTTTCCTGGATGTGTCAGAGCAGGAATATGTGTATGTGGGAGCAGGAAAAGATAGGTTTATGTGAATAAGCCAGGTGCCAAAATCCTTCAAGCACTGATCCAAACTTGAAACATTTACTACTGCTGGTAGATAGAGGACGTGAGCAGCTGGGGATAAAGTTTAACATGAGCACTGGTGCATGCACTGTATCTGGGAGCTTATCACTGAAAGCTTACATGAAAGTCTCCTTTAGTCCTGCGCTGGACCACTCATCACTCCCAAGTCAGCTGCAGATTCTAGGGGATTTACCTGTGAATATTTGTTCAAATCCTCTAAAGCTTCATTTATCTTGTCATGAAGTGTTGTGATATGTTGGTGTAAGGATTAGCTTTTCTTTTTTCTCTCCCTGTCTGATGTCTGTAAACCAGATTGGACAGTGACCCAGATCTTTGATCCTGCACTCCATCCAAAATCTGTTTGTTTTTTTAGGGTCGAAAGACTCATTTAGCACTTTTGATAGTCACCAAACTGAAGAAAAAAGAATGATTGTTTCCAAACAGGTGTTCAGTACAAGTTTAACTCAATTAACAGCATTTGTGACAAAGGTGATTACCTGAAAAAAAAATTCAACTTGTTCCTGCTTTCTTTATAAAAAGCATAAATCAAGGTTACAGTGAGGGACTTAAAATTTATTTAAAAGCAGAAATGTAAGCTTAACATTTTATAGTTACATAATTTTTTCTTTTAAAACCTGCATTACTTGCACAGTAGATTTCTCTTAATTTTACGGTTATTTTACACCGTTATGTTTGTCATGAACTAAATTTGAAAAACGAGTTATACATATACATAGTAAAGGTTAGTCAGTGATTTTTTTGAATGAATACACACATGTAGATTAGAACTTGTGACTACACTATTAAAACAGTGGCTGCATTCAAATATGCATACTTCCCTACTATATAGTATGTGAAAAACAGAATGTGAAAAGAATAGTATGTTCACTTCCATTGTAAGTGCTTCACTGTAACCCAGATTTTTGCTTTTTTAAAGAAAGGGAAATGTAGAAATACATTTTTTTGTCATCAACATTATGCCACAATTGCTGCCTATTGAGCGTAACTTGTACTGAACCCAGAATATTCCCTGAAGTAAAAATAAAAATGTTTTGATAGCTCAACAGAACATTTACATGTTTTGAAAAATCAGTCTGCAAATTGATTTATTTACAGTTGAGTTGTATCTGTATTGGCATATGGGATAGGTGAAAGTGTTACACAAAGTTAAGCTTTAAATCACTGTTTTGCTACTGAAAGTGGCTTGTTGAGTTTGTTAAAAGCAATGACAAAAATCCTAAAAAAAATCATCCATTATGCAAAACGAGCACCTGACATTTTTTGCAACATAATGGTCGCATATTCACACAATATCGCTCTTTCTTGTCAATCTTGCTAAACAAAGGCCACTGTTTTGGAACAGTTCAGATATCATTAGCCTGAGCTCAGTGAATCTGGATATCTGTGTTTTTACTGTAGGACAGAGTTCTGGAGAATAGCACATAGGGGCAAACATGGCTCTCAGATGCACTCTTATCAGGAGTGGGAGCTGAAAGCATGCGTTAACACAAGAGACATGGGAGCTCTAGGCCAGGACAGGCAGTTTTGTATGAGTGAGGCTCAAGCACAGGCCTACACTGGCAAATTTAACCATATATGAAAGGAGACAGCAGCATTTATAACTTTGCTCTGTCTGGGGGGCTTATCTGAAACATAAATTATGTCAAACTACAGGCAAAACGCTGACTCAAAATATTTCCAGCATTAAAAAAATGAATCAGAAAGCATTGTTGGCTAGCTTTCAAACTCACTGAGACAAGTTTTTCTCTCCCTGTCTGTGAACCTATGAATTTTGATCCCACTCTAAAAAGATATTTTCAGTAGCTTTAGGGTCAGATGGTTCATTTAAACAGTGCTGATAACAGTGGACAGCTACATTCTCACACTTATTTCAAAATTCACTCTGATCTTTGCAGAAAAAAGTAGCAGAAAAAAAACATAGTATTCCTTTCCACATCATGCCACTACCTGTGTGTATTTAAAATGAAATTGTGTTGCTTTAATCTCCTCAGACATTTAATGAAATAAACTGCTTAAACTTTGGGGATTATGTTTTGGCAGAACATCAAGATACCTTGGGCAATGCTTTCTCTATAAATTATTACACACACACACACACACACACACACACACACACACACACAGACCAAATGTGTCCTAACTTGCCCTGCATTTTTGAGAAGTGGGTCAAACACATATACGTTTGAACTGGAGTTCTTGAAACTTGCATTGTATGAACAATGCAGAAAGCACCTCATCTTTGTGTGTGCCAGACGTGGAATGTGTGTGTTATTACAGGGTAATGGCAGATCTTGCCCACTCATAGGTCAGAAGTCACAATGCAGTTGGATGTTATGATGACATAAACAACTGAGAAAAGAAATTTAATCAAGCATCTGATTTGAATTTCATTTTTAACATTTTGTATCCAGATTGGTCATGAGATTAGATGATTAGAGATTACATACTTAGCTGTACAGTGTAAGTATTGATGTTCCATGAGCTGTACGAGCATGTTTTTCATTTCTGTATTAAAATTGTTTGTATGGCATAAAATAATAAAATATCAGGTTGATACAACTGTCCTGATATTATAATAAAGAAAGAAATATTGAAATTCCTGAAAAAAACTTAGTTTGGCAAAATCTTTTATTTTTAGTTATAAATATTAAAATAATTTAATATTTTATCAATATTTTAAGAACCTGCTTTGATTGTTTAATTGCTTATTTTAAAATACTTAATCCTATTTAAAACACTAAATCAAAGTAATGTGGTGCACCAACAAGCAGAATCATGCAGGGGGAAAAAAAAACATAAAACAGGAAATGATGCTTTCTAGGTCAATATGTATCTTAAAATATCAGAGTTCAGGTGAAGGGAGACTAAAATGTCATGTGGTGCAACTCCCTAAAAACATAATAATTTGTGAATTAATGATTTATCATATTTGTAAAAACACCTTTACCTTGAAGATGTGTGTGTATATATACGTATATATATGTGTGTGTGTGTGTGTAAACTTGATTTGTTAATAATGATTAAGATGTGTTCATGTATTCAAAATACTTTTTTTTGAAAGCTGAAACATCCTGAAGTTTAAAGCATCTATAAATGCCCAGGATTCTGCCTGAAAACGCCACAGTGCTGCCCACGGCACTTGTCTCAGTTTTTAACGCCCATATTAATGAACAGCCATTTCCTCCAAAGAATGTTTAGGGACACTAAGCAGTCCATCCGCTATCATATCCCACAGTAAGTAAACAGCATCAACCAGGAAAGAACATGATTTTGCTTTTGTATCAGATTAGTGTGGTTTGGCTTGTTTGTTTTTATTTAATGTTCATTTACATGCAAGATGTTTATTATCATAAACTGTGGCCTTGCCAAATGGGTTCAGTATGTTTTTTTAAACTAATGTCAGTTTATCATATTTGAGACAAATATACTTTAGTTAAATAAATATGTCAAGAGCATTTTCTGGCAATATACTTTAAACTACTGTTCAAATTTTAGGGGTTGTTTAGGATTGTTTTTGAACAATGCTCACCAAGGCTGCATTTATTTGAAAAAAAAAAAAAAAGTAAAAACAATAATATTGTGAAATACTATTACAATTTAAAACAACTGTTTTCTAATTTAATGTATTTTAAACTGTTATTTATTCCTGTGATGGCAAAGTTGAATTTTCAGCATCATTACTCCAGTCTTCAGTGTCACATGATCCTTGAGAAATCATTCTAATATACTGGTTTGCTACTCAAGAAACATTTCTTCTTAGAAATCTTTCAGTGTTCCCATGGGGGGATGAAAAGTGCCACAAAATTGTTCAAAATGTATTTCTCCAATACACAACTTTTAATGGAGAAACATGCTTTTTGTCTGCATAATGGTGTAGTGATGATAACTAGCTAACCAGTATTAGCATGGGTAATTTCCTTCAGCAAATTTGTATAGTGATTGTTGCCATTCAGTTCATTACTTCTTTCCATCGCAGGGTTTATCGCAGATTCCTCATTCCCTCTCTGAAAAGAGGAGAGACAGGGCCCCCCACCCTCAGGACACCTTCAAACCTCAAGCATGGCCAAAAGATGAGCCACAGCTCAACACCCAGCTCAGGAACAGCCCCGGGGGTGCAGGTCCACTGCGCTGTGGCGTCCCAGACTACCCTGACCAGAGAGAGGTGCATCTCAGCAGGCACCCCCGACAGAAACGCTTTGTGATTTTTGGAGGACGCTGGCTAAAAACTGACCTCACTTACAAGTAAGGTGTACAAGGAAATCAAGATTATTCATTATAATTCTAAGTAATATATACACCATTTTTTCTAGTGAGCCTACACTCTTAAAAATAAAGGTGCTTCACGATGCCATAGAAGAACCTTTTTGTCTAAATGGTTCCATAAAGAACCTTTAACATCTGAAGAACCTTTCTGTTTCACAAAAGGTTCTTTGTGGCGAAATAAGGTTCTTCAGATTACAAAAAGGTAAGAAAGAGATGGTTCTTTAAAGAACCTTTGACTGAATGGTTCTTTGTGGAACCAAAAATGGTTCTTCTATGGCATCGCTTAAAGAACCCTTTGAAGCACCTTTATTTTTAAGAGTATACTGCATTTTAAATTATGGGAGGCGCTTGAGAGGAGAAGTTCCACTCAAAAAGACTGAAATTATTTCAATTTATTAAACTGTGCTACAAATAATCCATATTTGTCAGTTTGACCGAATAAGTTAAGAAAGTTCTTCCATGTTCTATTTTACACTTGGTATTTTAATGTGACGATATAAGATGAATATCTATGGCAAGAGCTCTTTTCCGTCTGCTGCATTATTTTCCTCCTCATTATTTCTTTTTTCCTTTGTAATCTGCTCTAACAATATGAAAAAAAAGGCAACATATACTGTGCATTTGTTGTCTGTTCTCCTGATTAAATTACAACATATCTCATGAATAATTCACTAGTATCTAATTTTTCTCCCCAAATCCACGTCTTATTCCAGGTTTGATATAATAATATAATAAGATATAATTATTATTTGCTTATTATTAGCTTATAAATCAACTGTGTAACTTTAGTGTGTAAGCTTAGTCCTACTTCATGGTATTCCATGTGCACCAAGTAACTGAAAGTGTCTTGTTACGATGGTTGATTTTAATTATTTAATAATAATAACAACAACAACAATAATATAACCATTTAGCTTTCTAATAATCTTGGAATTGTATACTATGAAAATTGCTGGCACAATGACAAATGGTGGCACAGTCCCTGTCTGTTTTCATCGTAACAAAAGGGTCATTTTTGTCCTTATTTAATATCTGAATAAACGATAATGTTTGTGTGCTGATAGCACTTTCTATCTCTGTTCTGATCATGCTTACAGCAGTCAGTGTATGTGGAGGAATGCAGAGACATTATAGTCAGACCTTTGAGGGAGAAAAGGGTCGTCCCTGAGAGAGTAGTAATCAGCAACATTTGTACAGGAATCTATTCACAGGCAGCACAGTGTGGATGCATCCGGTTGAAGATGTAGGATACTCACTTTTCTTTCTGAGGTCTTGTTGCTCTCCATTGTTCTTTGTGTAATATTTTAATGGCTGAATAGTACAGAGGCATGCATTGTGTATTAGAATGGGACATTATAAGATAAACGAAATGTTTGCATTTTTTTGAAGGAAAGTGTGTGTGTTTATATGTGTGTGTGTGTGTGTGTGTGTATATATACGTATGTATATGTACTAAATGCAAAAGTAAAGGTGTTCTAAATTCCCTATGTATGTTTATAGGGGAAGGACTTTTATTATGAATGTGTGCCGCTAGTTGACGTGAGTTTCCGCTATTCCGATTTACTTTCACTTTCACTAGCCGCTTGATCCGCCATTTCTTCCGGTGTTAATGTGCGTGATTGAATAAAGACCACATTTAACACTTTGTGGCCTTAAGTTGTACAATATCCAATCCAATTGGAGCAATGTTGTGCCATCTGCTGTGAACAGTTAAATACTTCAGATAAAGAGTTGAACAGTGCCCTGTCTCCTGTCGCACTTCTTACCCGAGTCCCGTGGTGGATTAGCATCAACACCCCTACCGATCTATTAGTCCCGTTCATTTTGGTCCTTCCTGTATATCAGTTACAGGCTCACGTGCCAAGCCAATCCACACGGCAGTCGTTTGCTGTGTCCGACCCGTATCGCCCTCCGCTACCGACCACTGGGTATCACCCTGCTCAGCCTCCCGTTCAGACTCCTGTGCAGCCCTGGTATCCCCCTTCAGTGGTTCACCAGCCACCACCTCCTCTTCCGGTTTACCAGCCTATGCCCGTTACACCCCCGCTACAACCAGTTCCTATTCCAGCCTTGCCTAAGCTCGTGAATGATAGTGAGAGGGAGTTCACAGACCTGAAGATGGCCTTGGATAATCTTCTCAATCCTCACACAGAGCTTACCGAGCACTATAAGTACAGGGTACTGATGGAGCAGTTGGTTCTGGAGGAAGCTAGGTTGATCGCCCAAGCATGCCGTCATCATCCTGCACCCTATATGGCAGCAATGATAGCGTTGCAACGACAGTATGGCCAGCCTCATCAACTGGCGCAAAGCGAGATCGCAGCCCTGCTGAATTCACCTGATATTAGAGTTGGGGATGCAAAGGCCTTTCAGAGTTTTGCACTCAATGTTGACTTGCTAGTTGGTATGCTGATGTCACTCGAGGGTCCACAGGGGCGAGAGCTCTCTTGTACGGGGCATGTCGACAGACTACTCAGTAAATTGCCCAAACACTACCGAGACAGCTTTATAGAGCACTTACAGTTGCGAGGCCGATTGCACACTGACAGCCTCAACCCATATAACCTGCATGACCTTGCTGACTGGTTGAAGGTGAAGGCGGAAGCGCAACGTTTATCGTTCAAGATGGTGCAGCGCTACCAGACCGAGAGAGTACAGGTTACATGTAAGGATCGGCAATCTGTTCCTAAGCCCCAGACTCGATCCACTGCAGTCTATCATGGCAGTGATCAGCCCATGGAAGCTAGCACAGGGCAGTCTGTCCGTACCGCTGCTGCTCATGCTCAGTCATCAGCCATGAGACTGAAGCGTTTGTGTCTGTTCTGTAAGAGTCAGGAGCATTACCTGTCGCAGTGTAGCAAAATTACTGAGTGCTCACCTGATCAGATTCTAAAGTGGATAAAGGATGGAAAAAGATGCTGGAAATGTGGGCGCACAAGTCATAAATGTGTACGTTGTACGTTGAGGAAGCCCTGCAGGGACTGTGGTAATATACATCTCGGAGTCCTGCATTCCAGGATGGTCCTTGGTCCTAACAGTGTGCTGCTGACAACATCTCACGAGCGAGCATATCTTACTTCTCCTAGTTTGACGGGTCGTGTGTACCTGAAAGTAGTTCCAGTGCTTCTGTGGAGAGGCAAGAGGTCGGTTTCGACCTACGCTATTCTGGACGATGGGGCTCAGCGGAGTATCATCCTTCCTGCAGCAGTCCAGCAGCTAGGCATTGAGGGAAGGGAAGAGATTATGGCCCTTCGCACCATCCGACATGACATCACAGAATTGAAGGGGCAGTCAATTTACCTGCTGCTTTCCTCGTAGTCAAGGCCAAAGGAGAAGCACAGCCTTAAGGGGGTCTTCACCGCACCTCTCCTCA